GTCTCCCGTTTCTGGGTCGGGCATGAAATTTGGTCCTACCCTTTCTGCTTCGTTGGTGTTGACTGTCACAGGTGTTACGTAACCATCGTCGGCGAAACGGTAGAAGATTTTGGCGTTATTGCTGTCGCGAGGATTATCCTCATCCATGGGCACGTCGACGGAGCAGTATGGGAGAGGTCCGGCTTCTTCCGAGGCGTTGTCGACGTTCTGTTCATCCCAGTCTGCTTCGTCCGCTGCTGACGCGAAGGCTCGGTCACCACGAAAACCACTGGTGAGGTCTCGATTCTCGTGCAAGTTGGCGAGGTACGTCTGAAGGGTGAGTCTTTCGTAGAAGATCACGTCACGTGCTGCTACTGTTTCCTTTGTGTGGACGTCGAAGATTCTCCATGCGTTGTAATGTTTCTCGATGCCGAGGTGTAGTCCCCACTGTGCCCGTTGCGAAAATCTTCCCGCTCGTGCTTCTGGGGGTCTGTACTGTACCATGCACCCGAAAACTCGTAACATTTTCGTGCTGCCCTGCTTCCCTGTCCACAGCAGATGCGGTGATGCGTTGTTCGGGAGTGACGACGACGACAACAAGTTGTGCAGCATGACAGCGTGGTCCATTGCTGCTGGCCACTGGTGGTTGGGTAGCCGCATGCCACGTAACAGTTTGCGCATGCTGTTCTGCAGGGTCCTGTTCAGTCGTTCTGCAACACCTTGCTGCTGATGTGCGTAGGGAAGGGAGAGGAGTTGCTTGATCCCCCTTTCCGCCAAGAACTGCTTGAAGCGCTGAGAGGTGTACTCGCCACCTCCGTCTGACTGGAAATTTTTCAGTTGTGTTCCAGACTCTCTCTCTGCTATCGGTAGCCAGGCGGCGAATGCTGCGAGCGCCATGTCGCGGCTGGGTAGGTTGCGATGCCAGACGTATCGAGTGGCGGCGTCGATGAAGGTGATGGTGTAGTTGTAGTTGACTTGTCCTGGTTCGCGATTGTAGAGGATGTCGCTGTAGACTTTTTCGAGTGGTGCGTACGCTGGAGCGCTCGGGTTGTGATGTGAAGCAAACGGTCGATGAGGTAAGTCAGCTTCGGGACATATAAGACAAGTCCCTCGTGCCTTCTGGAGTTCTCTGCCATCGGGTAGAAGTAGAGAGTCTTTGTCAAGGACTCCTGCTCTTATCGTGTTATTCAAAACCGTGTTGCTTGGATGTCCTGTGCGTGCGTGCCAGATCTCTTCAGAGGCGCGGTGTCCGGGTGAACGCTGATATGCGTCGGAGTTGGAGTAAAAGCTGGCGACGAGGTTGGCGCTTCGGTGGACTTCACGTTGAGTCGGATTCAGCTGTTGCGCGGGTGTTGGTGGTGCTTCGTCGACTGTGACTGGTGTCGTTGTTCCTGCTGCTGCTGATGTTGTTGCTGCTGCCGATGTTGTCGCTGCTGCCGATGTTGTCGCTGCTGCCGATGTTGTCGTCTCTGCTTCTTGTTGAATCGTTGCTAACGCTCTTGTTCGTTCTGCTTCAGGGATAGTGTGGGAGTACCAGAAACCTTCCGGGCTGAGGTCGGGGTCGAGATCCGGAGGGTGTGTCCAATCAGCAAAGTTCACAATGGCGTCGCTGTCTGCAGTGCCGAGGTCGGGAGCGAAGTCGAGGACGAAAACGTTGTTCTTCAGCACTACTTTCCCGATGTAGAGACCGCCTCTCCCGTGGTAAAGCTTGAACTCCTGGGTCGTGCTGTCGGCTTCCAGATGAATTCCTTTCGCCATCAACTGGCTAACGCTTAGTAAGTTGTAGCCGAGTCCTTCAGCGATGAGTACCTTAGACATGTGCAGTATGACATTTGTTTCTCTTGACTGAAGCTGTACCACTCCTTGTCTTCGTGTGCGCAGGTTTTGGTTGTTGGCAACCGTGATGATCACTTCCCGTTGGAGTCGATGTTCGCGTTGTACGAAACGCCCGGACGAGCACATGTGTTGCCCGCAGCAACTGTCCAAGAACCAGGTGTCTTGGCCGGACGGTTCACTTTGAGCGATAGCGGCGTAAGTCGGATTTGGATGGAGTGATTCGCGACGAGGCGTCCTGTTGTCGAGCTCCTCTTCCGGTGAGTAATGGGGTGGTGACTCTGTTGTGCAAGAGCCGTTTATCTTGACCATGCAGTTGACTATATGTCTTGCTCCTTGTGCAGGTTGTCCAGTTGAGGTCGTTGAAGCTTGAATCGTGGTTGTCGAGCTTGCTTGTGTCGAAGCAACTTGGGTGCTTGAAGGCCGCAGTTGTCGCTGTGGTGTTGTCTGTCGAGACGGGCAGTGCGTGCGTGGGTGTCCTGATGTCTTGCAGATGTGACAAAATGGAGGTACTAGCTTCGGCTGCTGCTGTCGATTGTTGTAGTAGTTGTGTCGTCGCTGAGTATGGAAAGCAAACTCTGGTGCTAATGTCCTTTTCTTGTGTCTTTCTTCTTGCAGGTCCATATCCTGCTGCTCGGCGTGAATTTCTGCGCAAAGTGCCGCTTCGGAGATCCTCCCGTGTGCTCGAAGAATTGCTTTGGTGGCGCGCCACTGAGGACCGAGGCCGCCGATGACGACTGTTACGAAGGCGTCTTCATAGATTGACCCTCCACATCGAAGAAGCTTGTCGCGCAATTCGCGACATCGGCTGATATACGCCAACCCTTTTTCTCCTGGTTTCATTTCAACTGTTGTCAGCTGCGCCATTAACCTGCTCTGGTTTACACTGTCTGTTGCCTGGTACAGGTTCTTCAGATGGCCGTACGCGAGTTCCGCCGAGTTGCCGAAGTTCCGGTAAGAGCGAATGTTCTGCTGCTGGGTTGGTGTGATGTTTCTCAGTAGAATAGTATACGCCATCATGGATTGATATGTATACTGCTGCTTTTCATACTGTGTCCCGTTTGCTGGATACTGCAGGGATCCGTCGAAGAAGCCGAGTATCTGCGCGCCCTCCATCATCAACTCGAATTCAAAGGACCAGGTAAAGAAGTCCTTTCCGTCGAAAGGTCTTGACGTTTGTAGTTTCAGAACATGCGCGAACTGCGACTGTACTTGTAAGGCATCCATTGGTTTGTCTTGCGCATGTGGAGGTTGAGGCAGGAAGCTGATCGACCCGCGTTCGTACGGGGCGAAGGTGGGTTGCTGCTGTTGATTCCCTTGCGCGTATGACGACCCGTCAAGGCTCATGGGTGTCGCTCCGTTGTTGCTGTTGTGTGTCTGTGCAGGTCCCGACTGCTGGTGTTGCTCGTAGAAGGACATGAAGGAGAAAAATTTCTCCATCATGCTCTGGTCGAAGTCAGAAGGATGGTTCGTGGGGGTCTCGGTTGACGTTCCCCTTGGTCTTGCTGCCGTGCCTTCCTCTGTCTGCAGGCCAGAGGCTGGCGGTGGAGTAGGAGTAGTGCCCGAGGAGCCATTAGGGGAGCTCCTTTCCTTGTTTGTTGCCATGTCTTGTAATGATCAAAAAGTTAAGAGTTTTCCCCTGTCAGCTCTCATACCATGTTGGGCTGAAAAATAGCCATTAGGATCTTTGCAGAGGAGAACTCTTGGGTAGAAACTTGTAATAGCGGAAGCGTTTTAATGAGGATTGTGAACCGACCTTGCACTGGTGTGTGAGAGCAAAGTAGATTAAATTAAACAAGCAAATACAAAGATTTATATAAGAGTACAGGGAATACGAATAGATAGATAGATAACTGTATTGCTGTTGCGGTTCGATAGAGTGCGACTCGGGCAACTGCTCTGTAACGAGTCAGTTGTGTGTCCTTAACTGTCGCGCTGTAATTGTCTAGTCAAAGGTCAGCGACCTTTGACTTTCTCGTAACCTCCAGGCGGTTACCCTAACCTCCGAGGTTGACTCGATGCTTCGATTGGGACTGCTTCGCTTGGTGCCTTGGGTCTTGGTACGACAAAAGCGCACTTAGGACTTATTGTTTCCAACAGCTCCATTGATTCCTCTCATCTCTTTCAAATTCATCTAATTTTAGGACAATGCTTCCATTCCAACCCAATGTTTCACATTCTCTAGAAGCCCATTTTAGCTTGAACAATGTATTCAGCTGAACAATCTGTGCTATGCCCTTCCTTTATCAAGCGAAACCAAGCAGTGAGTGCTCCCCTCCTCACGGCATGGTCTCACTGCCGAGTGAGTGCTCCTCTCAATGCAAACCAAGCGAGACCAGGCAGCGAGAGTGAACCTTTGGCACCACGGCCCTGACCTGTACCTCTGAAGTGCCTTGCTGCTAGTAGCACCCTTCACACCCGCTGCTGTTGCTGCACCCGGCAAAGGCGTGTGAGGCTGAGACGGTGTGTGCAGGTGTGAAGCGGTTGAAAGGGGTAGTGTTGGAAGCTTGGATGGTCCAGCTGGTGGTGGTGGCGGCGGTAGGAGACCGAGTGGCATGCCTGCTGTCGCTGATGGTGCTGGTGCTGCTGCTGGTGGTGCTGCTGCTGGTGGTGCTACCGCAGATAGGGTAGGCGTGGCTGCTGGCTACAGGGTTTAAGAATGATGGAGAAAATCATGGCCGAAGGGACGAAGGCAAGAGGTGGGAAAAAACGAGCGAGGGCATTATGGGAGGGTGGGGAGTGGGAGAAGAGAAGGGGCTATATCGAAGGAGGACGCTACAGGGAGGCCGCTAGAGGGGGCTAGACGGGGGGTCGCTAGAGGGAGGGTCGCTAGAGGGGGGGTCGCTAGAGGGGGGGTCGCTAGAGGGGTTTTCGTTAGAAGACACTGGAGCAGTTAGGTAGGTAGGTGGGGCAGAAGCAGGAACCTAACTTTATTGAATTCAGGGGAGCGTGTCCAAAACCCATAGTGAAGCTTGGGAACTCGGACCGAGCTAATGGATGTTGACTGGGCAAAAATGTCTGCTGTGCTGTGCTTGCACATTAAGTTGAGGTTCATTCATGTGAGAGCTGAGGCCTCCCCAACACTTTGTAACCATGCCTCAAACGATAGTGGGGGCGATTCAGGTGGCACAAGGGTGAATCCTCTGCCTGTCCCGTGGCACAGTTGCAGTGGAGGCCCATATTGAGGGCTACTGGAGGTGAAGCACTGTGATGGAGGCAGGCATGAGATGGGAGACGTGCGGAGGGGGTGAGAGAGAGACATGCACGGTGTGTGAAGAACAGCGAAAGGACCCCTTTCAAATGAGTAAAGGACAGACCAGAGGAAACAAGGCACGGGTACAAAGAAGGCAGATGCAGAGGATGGGATGGAGAGGACAGCGGGCGGTGGAGACAAGTGCAGAGAAAAGGAGGAGCATAAGGGCGTGTTCCTATGGCCTCTTATCAGGCCAACCTCTTGTCAGATTCGCGTCGCACCGCACTGAAAACACACGTCACAACATTCGATCGCATTGAACCGCACAAGTCTGACAAGAGGTCGCTTGATAAGGGGTCGTAGGAACACGCCCTAAGATGCAGCCATCAGATGGTACATGCCTAGGGATGCACTGCCCACCCCAGCATGCCCTGTCCACCCCACCTGAGCGTGCCCGTGGTGGGTCTTGAGGCAGGGCTCCGCCCCACCGAGCTGGCACTCGGGCCGCGCATTGGAGCGCCAGTCATGGCTGGTGGAGGTGTCGAGCATGCACTGCACACCCCAGCATGCACTGCACACCCCAGCATGCACTGCACACCTGCGCATTCACTGCCCACCCCCGCATGCCCTGCCCACCCCACCTGAGCGTGCCCGTGGTGCGTCTTGAGGCACGGCTCCGCCCCACCGAGCTGGCACTCGGGGCGGCCATTTGAGCGCCAGTCATGGCCGGTGGAGGTGTCGAGCATGACGTTCATGATGTGAGGCGTGGCGCCCGCCAGCATTCCATGCACACCTGCGCATTCACTGCCCACCCCCGCATGCCCTGCCCACCCCACCTGAGCGTGCCCGTGGTGTGTCTTGAGGCACGGCTCAGGCCCACCGAGCTGGCACTCGGGGCGGCCATTGGAGCGCCAGTCATCGTTGGTGGAGGTGTCGAGCATGACGTTCATGATGTGAGGCGTGGCACCCGCCAGCCCCGCTGCCACCATGCCTAGTGTTGACCCCTCCGTCACCAGGAAGGAGTCGCTGGCGAGCAGGTGAGCAGCACGGGCAGAGGGGTGGAGGGACACGCACAGGCAGGTGAGCATGTGTTGAGGCGCCTCAAAACAAGACGCCCGCCAGCCCCGCTGCCACCATGCCAAGTGTTGATCCCTCCGTCACCAGGAAGGAGTCGCTGGCGGGCAGGCACGTGCAGGCAGGTGGGACACACAGGCAGGTGGGCACACACAGGCAGGTGGGCACACACAGGCAGGTGGGCACACACAGGCAGGTGGGCACACACAGGCAGGTGGGCACACACAGGCAGGTGGGCACACACAGGCAGGTGGGCACACACAGGCAGGTGGGCACACACAGGCAGGTGGGCACACACAGGCAGGTGGGCACACACAGGCAGGTGGGCACACACAGGCAGGTGGGCACACACAGGCAGGTGGGCACACACAGGCAGGTGGGCACACACAGGCGAGTGAGCAAGGCACACACAGGCGGGTGAGCACACACAGGCAAGGATCATCGGAGGGGCACGCGGGGGTATAGCTGCCCAAATCTGTGATTCGAACAGCCTTGCAGTTGCGTTGGGTTGCACTGCAATGTGCGCGCTGCTCTGGATAGGGGCGCGGGTCTCACCAGAGTGCGAGGAGCCAGATGTCGATGACAGCTGTGCCGAAGTGAGGCCAGTCAAACTTCTGGCTCTCCTCCGCATGCACCCTGCCACGCACAGCATGGGAGTGAGCGCACAGCGAGTCACTCCATGGTATGCTGCTGCTCCCACGCGATGAGATCTGAAAGGGCACAACGCCATGTGAGCATGGCATGCTGCTGCTCCCATGCATCCCATGTGAGGGTGCAATGCAATGGAAGGAGTGGGGTAACATGGCATACTGAGGCAGATTCCCTACGGAATGCACAAGTGTGGAACCAGACCAGTGTGGAACCAGACCAGTGTGGAACCAGACCAGTGTGGAACCAGACCAGTGTGGAACCAGACCAGTGTGGAACCAGACCAGTGTGGAACCAGACCAGTGTGGAACCAGACCAGTGTGGAACCAGACCAGTGTGGAACCAGACCAGTGTGGAACCAGACCAGTGTGCGAAGCCCCACCAGTGCACGGCGATGAGCGAGCCATCAGCGGACGGGTTGTTGACAAATCGCAGCCGCAGCTGCTGCCCCTCATGTGAGTGTGCGGTGCCATGGCAGAAAGGGAGTCACATGGTATGGTGAGGCAGATGCTGATGGAATGCAAGAAAACATAATGTTGAATGCACAGAACAGCATGTGAGGCCCACCAGTGCACGGCAATGAGCGAGCCATCAGCGGACGGGTTGTTGACGAATCGCTGCCGCAGCTGCTGCCCAAAGCGAGAGCTCAGCGACGCCACAAACACTGCCGCTGACCGCCCTGCTGTCGGTGGGCCTTCACCCACGGTGGTGGCGGTGGTGGTGGTGGCATTGGTGGATGCGTGAAACTGCGGGAAGGGCACTCAGCAGAGGCACATGCGAAGAACAAGGGGAAAAGAGAGGGGCATGCAGGGGCAGATGGGTAGCGGCACGAGTACAGTTTAAGGTGCTCACAACCCACCATGGCAGCGCCCTCACTGCCAACCCACCATGGCAGCGCCCTCGCTGCCAACCCACCATGGCAGCGCCCTTGCTGCCAACCCACCATGGCAGCGCCCTCACTGCCAACCCACCCACCATGGCACCGCCCTCACTGCCAACCCACCCACCATGGCACCGCCCTCACTGCCAACCCACCATGGCACCGCCCTCACTGCCAACCCACCCACCATGGCACCGCCCTCACTGCCAACCCACCCACCATGGCACGGCTGTCTTCATAGTCGTTGAACCCCACGGCGGGCAGGAGGTGCGCGATGGCGCAAGTGAGGAACAAGGGGGAAGTAGGGAGGGGCACATGATGCAGAAGAAGAGTGGGCAATGATCCATCGCCCTCACTGCCAACCCACCATGGCAGCGCCGTCCTCGTAATCGTTGAGCCCCACGGCAGGCAGGAGGTGTGCGATGGAGTGAGCGCAGGTGAGGATGTGCGGCATGATGTCCTCCTCCACCTCCTCCACTGGGCGGATCTGAGGGGGGGGCAGGGGGGGCATGCACACAGGGGACAGGAGGGGTTGGTAGCAGGGCAGTGCGAAGGGCAGACGCACATGAGCATGCGCGGCATGATGTCCTCCTCCGCCTCCTCCACTGGGCGAATCTGATCCCTCCATGCACATTGAGCAAGGGGGAAGGGGGAGGGGCGAGGCGCCATGGCAGGGCAGCACAGAGAGGGTGGCGCACGTGAGCAGGCAGGGTGATGTGGGGGGGGGGGCATGGCTAGAAGCAGGGAGCAGGGAGGAGGGTGGTTGAAGGTTGATCAGAAGCAGACGTGAGGGTGGCGTGGCGGCACAGCCATGCAGGAATGAGGAGCAGGGCTTCAGAGACGATGATGAGATGAGGTGCGGGGAATGAGAGAGGATGAGATGAGGTGCGGGGAATGAGAGAGGATGAGATGAGGTGCGGGGAATGAGAGAGGGTGAGATGAGGTGCAGGGAATGAGAGAGGATGAGATGAGGTGCGGGGAATGAGAGAGGATGAGATGAGGTGCGGGGAATGAGAGAGGATGAGATGAGGTGCGGGGAATGAGAGAGGATGAGATGAGGTGCGGGGAATGAGAGAGGATGAGATGAGGTGCTGGGAGGAGGCAGGGGCATGCGGGCGGACCTGCAGGGCGAGGCGGGGGCTGTGGGGGGCGAGGTAGGCGGAGAAGGCCTGCGAGACGGCGAGCCAGAGGGAGTTGGCCGGATGCAGCAGCCACCGCGCTACATGTGTCAACGGGCGGCGGTCCGGGAACCAGCTGTCGAGAACGGCCTGGTGGTGGTGGGGCCATGTGAGATGGAGGCGGTGTGGGTAGCGGTGAGGGCGGGTGCACTGCGGGGAAGAGCAGGCTGCGCAGGTGCAGCAGGCAGTGGGGCATGACACGGGCAGGCAGAGGGGCATGACACGGGCAAGCAGAGGGGCATGACACGGGCAAGCAGAGGGGCATGACACGGGCAAGCAGAGGGGCATGACACGGGCAAGCAGAGGGGCATGACACGGGCAAGCAGAGCGACGGTGGAACAACAGGCAGTGTTGGAAAGGTGCGAGGGGGAAGGCATGAGAGGGTAAGCATATGGGAGGAGGAATGGTAGCGAGAGAGAAGACGTGGCATGTGGAGGACAGTGGCAGTACTTGGAAGGAGGGGCGGAAGTAGAGGGCAGGCAGAGTGTAGAAGTAGGACGTGAAGAGCAGCACGGGCGTGCTTGCCATGCGCTGCTGCTCGTCGTCACACACCACGTTCCACCAGAAGCCGCTCCTGCCACTCGATTGTGGGGTTGATGAGATGGGAGACGCAGAAAATATTGTTTTTGAGACGTCTCAAAAAGCACATCACATTCCACCAGAAGCCGCTCCTGCCAGCCGAAAGAGGGGTTGATGAGGGGGGGCACGGGGGATGGGCACACTTGGCAATGTGCGTGGTAGAGTGAGTGAGACGTTTTGGGGATAGATGGCATGTGCAGAGGCGGTATGGATGGCATGCATGGCACACATTGTATGGAGGGTACAGATGCCATGATTGATACCAAAGCTCATGGCAGGGAGTGATGGCACGGGTAGTCGTTGCTCACGGGTAGTCGAGGTGCAGGGAGCGGTTGGAGGGAGGGAACTTGTTGGGCTTGGCGTCCTTAGCCACGTCGCTCACTATGGCCCTGCCATACGTCCCACCCCCACATGCACACCCACACATGCACACGCACACATGCACACCCACACATGCACACGCACACATGCACACCCACACATGCACACGCACACATGCACACCCACACATGCACACCCAGACATGCACACCCACTCATGCACACCCACACATGCACACCCACACATGCCAATGCGGGCAGAAGGCATGGCATAGCACACACGACGATCGCAATCATCGATGAGTGACGGACAGGAAAGTGCAAGCAGGTGGAAAACGGTTGCTTGAAGCAGTTTGGGTGGCGGCTCACTCAAAGTGGTGAGCAGGGATGGTGGGCTCACTCAAAGTGGGCGGCGGGGATGGTCCAGTCGGAGGCGTTGAAGGGCTGGCAGAAGGCGGTGGCGGGGAAGGAGGCAGCGGAGAGCAGCAGCGTGCGGTTGGTGAGTAACGCTAGGGAGAAGGCTGACACCAACGCCAGTATGCGGTTGCCCACTCCTGCACGTAGGGGGGGGGGAGAGAGGGGGTGGGAGTGGCGGGAAGCGCGGTGGTGTGGGGGGGGCAGAGGGGACAAGTCATGAGTGGAGAGGGAAATGTCTTGCATGCCCAAAGCTGGGTTCTTATAATGGCATGGCAGCAGAGCGAATGCAAGATGCAGAGGATGCAGAGGGTGTGGCGGAAGCTGCAAATGTGGCTGATGCGGCAGAGGCAGCAGAAGCAGAGCAGGGAGGGCAGTGGCAGAGGGGCAGCGCTGACCTGCGATGGAGTCCCGATAGAAGAGGTACTGACATGGCGCGTGGCCCTCTGCACTGCCTGCTGCCACCACAGCCCTGGGACATGGCAGCAAAGTGAGATGCGAGTATGGGAAGAGTGGTGCCGCATGGGCAGCGCCTCCTTACTGTGCTGCCGCCAACCCCCCTCTCTGACCCCCACCCTTGTAAGGCATGAGCGCACCTCAAGGCATGAGCGCACCTCAAGGCATGAGCGCACCTCAAGGCATGAGCGCACCTCAATGCATGAGCGCACCTCAAGGCATGAGCGCACCTCAAGGCATGAGCGCACCTCAATGCATGAGCGCACCTCAATGCATGAGCGCACCTCAAGGAATGAGCGCACCCCAATGCATGAGCGCACCTCAAGGCATGAGCGCACCTCAAGGCATGAGCGCACCTCAATGCATGAGCGCACCTCAAGGCATGAGCGCACCTCAATGCATGAGCGCACCTCAAGGAATGAGCGCACCTCAATGCATGAGCGCACCCCAATGCATGAGCGCACCTCAAGGCATGAGCGCACCTCAATGCATGAGCGCACCTCAAGGCATGAGCGCACCTCAAGGCATGAGCGCACCTCAATGCATGAGCGCACCTCAATGCATGAGCGCACCTCAAGGAATGATCGCACCCCAATGCATGAGCGCACCTCAAGGCATGAGCGCACCTCAAGGAATGAGCGCACCTCAATGCATGAGCGCACCTCAATGCATGAGCGCACCTCAATGCATGAGCGCACCTCAATGCATGAGCGCACCTCAATGCATGAGCGCACCTCAATGCATGAGCGCACCTCAAGGCATGAGCGCACCTCAAGGCATGAGTGCACCTCAAGGCATGAGCGCACCTCAAGGCATGAGCGCACCTCAAGGCATGAGCGCACCTCAAGGCATCAGCGGGTGGTAAGCCGTGGCGGAAGTCGAGGCGGGCGGCGCAGCGGCGGTGCATGGCTTGGTAACGCCGCAGTCGGTGGGTGAAGGCTGCAGAGGGGGCAGGGGAATGGGCGGGCTGTGGGGTGCAGCACGCAAGGAGAGAGGCGCGAGAGGGGCTAAGCAGACAGGCAGAGAGGTGATTAGCGTGAGCGCAGTCAGGGCTTGTGTGCGGATGCAGGTGCATCAGCAAAAGAGCTAGTGGCGAGTGACGGGGCAGCAGGCAGGCAAGCAGGCACCCCTCTCACCGGCATGTAAGCGTGCATCTCGGTTCGGCTCCAGCAGTCCTGCGGCGAGCGCGAGGCAGCCAGTGACGCCCGCAGGGAGGCCAGGTCCGATGCTGACTCCCGCTGCCCGCCCTCCCTCCCCGCCTGCTCCTGCTCCTGCTGCTGCTGTTGCTGCTGGTGGTGCTCCTGCCCCGCCTTACTTGCCTCCTGCGCAGCGCTCCCCTCCTGCCTGCCCATCTCCGCGGTGGCAGGCAGCATGCGTGCAGAGGAGGGTGCTGTGTCGTCCGGCGTCTCTGGCAGCGCGTATGGGGGCATTTGTGGAGGAGGGCAGTGCAGAGCGCGCGTGCGCAGATGGGTGAGCACCGCCTGCCAGCGGGGTGGGCGGAGAGAGGTGGGGGGGAGGGTGCTGTGCCGGGATTCATGCGAACCGTAAGGTAGTGTGAGGGAGTGAACAGAGGCTGGGGGGGTGGAGATGAGAGAGTGAGAGTGGGAGGAACGGGGAGAAGAGAGGAGGACGCGGGGAGGCTAAAGGTATGGAAGGCTGAGGGAAACGAGGTGGTGACACGAGAGATGGTGGGAGGCGATGGGCGATTGAGGGAGGTGCAACGAGGTGGGAGGTGCAAAGACGTGGGTGGAGTGGAGCAGTGCGCGGCGGTATGGCAGTGGGTGGCCGTGGACGCACATGGGGGGGACAAGCTGGGTGGAGGGTGGGTGGAGGGTGGGTGGAGGGTGGGTGGAGGGTGGGTGGCGACTAGACTATGAATGGCAAGGACGGCATGCGCGATGCGGACGCGCCTCACCAGGGCGAGCAGGGCGGCGGCCGCCACGAGGTACAGCCGCGCCCTGCGACTGCCCGCGTCGCCCGCGGGCGCGCGCGACGAGCGACGATGCATGGCGGCAACGAATAAGGGCCACAGTCGCCAGAGCGGAGCGACTCGAAAAATCGCCTAACCTGCCGCGCCAATCTCGCGTGTGCCGCGTCAGGGGTCACGGCCGCTCGAGTCGACTACACTCACTCGCGCTCCCCGTACCGCAACGCTTCGATCGATCTCGCGAGTCACGTCCGCGCCGCGTCGCGCGACGGTGCGGAGGCATCTAGGGCGATATGCGCGGCTACGAACGACATTGACAGCGGGATCGCGAAATCGGTGCTATCCGACAAGCCCGTCTAAAAAGCGGTGTGTGGCATTCGAGATGACGTTTCGCGTTCAAAATAACGGTTCGGGAATTACCCTAACCTGGGCCCCGTGGAAGCACCACGTGGTACGGAGGACAGGAGGAGGCGGACACATGTGCGCGAGCGCGATTCCGACCGGCATCCGTCATGACCTACTCGCCCCATTCCCTCATCGCCCACTATATCAGAATGGCCTGACCAGCCCAACGGTACTGGTGGCTACGTATGCTGTGCAACCCCGCGACTGTATGTGTGCTGTCATCTCTCTCAATAGGCGCTCGCTATAATCTCACCCAGGACAGGGCGTTCTCTCGTCGTGCTCGTAGCTCAAATTTGCTTGCATCGTGAGCATTCAATTTCTCTCTTCGCACAGTAAGGGAGTAACTTTTCAATACAGTTTAGGTAAGTAATAAAAATATAAGGAGCATTACAGCATCAACGGGTTAGTAGTGCCTAGTAGTAGTACAAATCACTATACAAGTCGGTTAGTATAGCCTAGTATGCTACAGGCAGCTCAGGTACGCCTCCCAGGCGTGCTTGCGAGGTCACCAGTCATCTCTGCAACTCGGCGCGCTCCGCGTCCCCTAGGGCGGGCGCCAGGATCATCTCCTTCAAGAGGAAGTGCCGCCGCAGCGCGTCGACACTCACCTCCGCCCGCAGCTGCGGCCGCAGCCCTGCCGTGCGCGCCGCACCCGCCGCGCTCGCGCCTTCCGACGGCACCTGCTGCTGACTTGACAACTCCACCCCTGCCCCCTCTTCACCCCCTCCTGCACTTTGCCGCTCCCCACTGCTCCGCTCCTCCTCTCCGCGCGACGCTCCTCCGCCCTGCTCGTCCTCGGATCTCCGCGCGACGACGGCATCCCCTGCGGCGCCTCCGCCATTCACGGCGGCCGCCATCTGCTGCGCCAGCTCCTGCTGCTGCCTCTCCAGGAACTCGTGCCACCCGTCGGGCTCCACCTGCCCGTACGCGCCCTCCGCGCGCCGCTCCCCCGCATTTCCCCGCAGCAGCGCGAGCTTCTCCTCGGCGCTGTACGGCGCGTCGACGCGCTCGTCGGGGAACTGCACGTCTTCGTGGAAGCTCGCCTTTTCGCGGCCCTGCCCCGTGGACCGCACCCGCCCCGTGTGCTGGAACAGCGACGGCACGTGCACGTACCCGCGCCTCTGCCGCCCGTCCTCCGCCGCGCTGCCAATGAACTCGTGCAGCAGGAGGTCCATCGGCGCGCGCGTCACTCCGCGCTCCACGTGCGCCACCGCCTCCGCGGCGGAGCGGGCGGAGAAGAGCAGCGACTGCGCGCAGCAGGGGATGTCGTACTCCTGCGCGTGCTGCAGGTTCCAGCGGTACGAGCGCGGGTAGTACAGCGACAGCACGTCCCACGGCGCCTTGCCGCGCAGGTCGCGCGCCATGAACCGCTCGATACCCACGTCCCACAGGCGCGCGGGGAACGCGTCGTCCTGCAGCAGCAGCACGTAGCGCGGCCGCGTCGCCAGGCACTGTCGCACGGCGTATGCGAAGTCCATCGACAGCTTCGTGTGCCATCGCCACCGCTGCCACCCGTCGCGTTCCACGTGCTGGCGCGGCGCGGAGCGCAGGAGGCGGTCGGCATCGCCCAGCAGTGCGCAGCCGTCGGGGTGCGCGGGGAGCACGTCCACGGGGAGCTCCATGCGCTCCGCCACCGCCTGGATCGCCGCCGTGTGCGCGTCCACCAGCGGGTTGACGTTCGCCGCGTCCTGCGCCAGCGCCCCCACCAGCGGCCGCACGTACGCCTCGCTCACGTTCGCCTCGCGCGCCAGCTCCGCCGCCGCCCGCTTCAACAAGGAGGGGGTTGCGCCGCTGGGTGCGCCGTTGTTCCGCGCACCGGCCCTTCTGGCGGGGTCGTCGACGCGGCAGCCCGAGCTGTACACCACGACGCGCATCGCGCGCTCCAGCAGCCCGTCTCTCTCGCGCGCGCGCCGCGCGTCGAGCGCCAGTAGCAGGTTCTCCACGCGCTGCCACGATTTCTCCTCGCCGTCCGGATCGAACCGCGGCGCCGACGGTATTGCAATGCAAATCCCCGACGGCGGCGGCTGCGCGGCCTTAGTATTGCCGGTGGCGGAGGAGCTGCGGCCCCACGGGGCGAGGCGGGGGCGGTAGAAGTCGGGCGACACGAAACGACGGAGGTGCTGCAACGGATCGTCCTCTGGCTGCTGCTGTGGTGCGCTGGGCGGCGTGGAAGGCGGGGCGGACGGATTATCCGATGGCGTGGGCTGCGGCGGGCTTGGCGCGGCAGGTTGATCTGATGAGGGGGCCTTGGTGGTGCAAGGCAGGGGAAGGCGAGCGAAGACGAGGAGGCAGAGAAGCGAGGAGACGAGGAGGAGCTCGAAGAGCGTGAAGAGGCGCAGCCGCACGCAGAGACACAACCATTTCGTGTCCGCGAGATGCGAGCAGTCCGCGTGAATCTTGGCCATGGCGCGCGTGGAGGAGAATCGATTGACTGACCGATGCGACAATGGGAGGCGAAATGACGGAAATGGGAGACGGATGAATCTGCTTGCTTGCTTGAAGTGCAACATAGGCTGGTGGAGCTAGGGTGAAGTAATGCCTTCCTGCCGCTCCATAGCACACACGACACGACACGAAGCAACGCAGTCTTGCTGCAAGTGCTCTACCTTCCCCACCGTCCAACGAGAACACAAAACGGGCACGATGGTGGAGAGGGCAAAGCAGTTTCTGCAGCAATCACAAACGACGAGCAGCGCCATAGTGATACTGTACGCCTTGTCAATAGAGATACTGAACGCCTTGTCAAGCTGGTTGTGCTGTGGGGCTCCCCGTCTGTTTCTGCGCACTCTGGCGTCGCGGTGTCGAGTTGGGGGACGCAACACCTTCGTGTCAGGGGTTTCGTTACACTCTCGCTGCGACACAATTTGTTCGCGTGCTTGTGCCGAATTTTGTTCCGCGGGGCATTTTTGGACTTTCAGAACAGAACTTCAAAAATAGGACTTCGTGGTGTCGAACAGAGGGACTGGCGGTTGGGAACAAGGTGGCGACTGGTGCGGGCCGAAGGGACACACAGGCCAGTGGCAGCGGCTCCAGCGAAGGGCGAGTGGTTTGGTTTGTTGGACTCCACTCCATTGCAGTTCCTTGCCAGCTGGCGCGCTGTGGCTTGCTCGCCGTTGATGCCAAACTCCACGTTTTTCCTTGGTTGGCATGTTCGTGTGCACTCCGATCAGTAACGACGAACAGCATTGCTGTACTTGACAGAAATTGGCAACATCTTCCACTGTATAACTCTATATGCTGTATGGCCATTCTTGGTCTGATTTTAGTGGATCCTACAATCGAGCTCTCTTAAGTGTAGGCTCCGCCTATATTCTCTATACCTGACACTCCCAACCCCCATACCCACACATCCCTAAACCCACATCGCCTTCTGATTTTTCCTTGCCCAACCTGTGTCCAAACTCGTTTCCCCATAGTTCCCCCCTAGCTATATTTTTTGTAATATTGCCGCGCGACTCTCGCTGAATTGGCAATTTGTTTAGTTACAGCTTTGTTGTTTGTTTTTTCCACGCACTCCATTTGATTACTCGTTGTGAGTAGAAACAAAGAAGAATGAACTAGCAAGAGGCTGTCAAACTGTGCATTTCACGTTAGATGGTTACAGTTTGTTACGATGCGAAGTTTTATGAGAAGGCATTCCTGTACGCTGCAGGAGCCGACTCTACCGAGTACGAAGCTGAGGAGTCAGAAGAACCGAAGCAACGCACTAACCGTCAGATCGAGACCGATGCAGGCAGAAACACTTACAGTGAAAAGATCGGGAACGGTTTTTGAACAGGTTTCCCGCGCCGCACGGTTTCTGAAATTAGTTGCTATAAGGGAATGTACCCCTTAGAGTACCGAATACTCCCGGACAAAACACCCCCCCATAATTGTACACCCCCGGGTAGCTTGTGCGGGGTGGGTGTTATGATAGACCTCGTTTCTACTATACCCCCCTTTTTGGCTGATTTTCTATAACACCCCCCTATTCTTACATATTCAGTATTATAGTCGTTAACGAGTAGCTGCAATACGGAAGAATGTCGCGTGAATTTCTCCCTCAATGAAATTTCGCGGTACATTCAAAGGCAATCTGCCGAGATTTGCCCCCTCCCACTATTTCTCTGTTGCCACATGCAGGTGAATCTTCCGTTGCAAATGGCAAGAGAGGTGTCACATGGCATTTTCGTGAGGGAGATGAAGTTCGAGGCCGAAACTGACATTCGCGCCTCAGGCAGTGATGCTAAAACGACCAGCAAAACACCCACATTGACTAATTTAAAAAACACTAACACTAAAATATGCCATATGTAAAGACCCGGGTATTATGTATTTTTTTCCTATGAGGAGACCCCCCCCATTTTTTCCCTGTATTTTTAGCTATACCCTAGGGTGTTATGTCCGGGAGAATACGGTACATGGCTAGCTACGTCCTTTAGAAGAATTGAACGAGAATGAATGAACTATGAATGAACTGGGTACAAGTACTAACCCTAATTGGGTTGTACCCCTTATGGGATACCCCACTACAGCCTGCACAAAAGCATAAGCTATAATGTTCTGACACACCCCCATAGGCAAAGTGGGGGAGAACAAGGGGTCACAAGACCAGTCAAGCAAAGCAAAGCAAAGCTCAGGGTGGATCACAACGTCACCACACATTCCGAGCACAAGGTCAAGGCCACAAGGTCAATTCACATGCAAGAGTACACATATATATATATATAAGGCTAAACAAACAAAAGCAGCATATATATATATCTACGAGTACAAGCAAGGTCAAGAGGTGAGCAAGTGAGGTAAGACAGGCACAAGACCCAGCTGAGTGCAGTAGCGCTGATGATCACAAGGCGGAAGTGCCTTGGTGAAAACATCAGCAGTGTTGGCCTCAGAGGCCACGTACGCAAGTCGCAACTGGCCACGCTGCTGCAGCTCACGAGCAAGAAAGTAGCGGAAAGCAATGTGCTTCGTTCTGTGCTCCAGGCGCTGCTCCCGACACAAGGCTAGCATGGCCTTGTTGTCTACGTATAGCACTGGAGGAGAACGAGGCGGCTCTCCGAGGCCAGTCAGCAGGTAGGTGAGCCAGCGAAGTTCCTGTGCAGCCATGGCCCCGGCGTAGATCTCAGCCTCACAACTGGAGCCGAGAACAGAAGACGAGCGAGTAGCCCTCCACGAAACAGAGCCGGAACCAAGACTGAAGGTGTAGCCCTGTGACGACCGCTGTGTAGCCTGGTCGTTAGCCCAAGAAACGTCCGCGCGGCCAGTGAGGACCACTAGACTCCACCCTCCAAGCACTAGCCCCATGCCCGACGTACTGCACAAGTAGCGCAACACCCTCTTCGCTGCAGCCATGTGCTCTGGTCTGTGTCTCCCAGGAGCAACATAGCGTGCAAGAATGCTAAGAGGGTATGCCAGGTCAGGTCGTGTGCAGGTCATCAGGTACATGAGGCAGCCAACAAGCTCTGGGTACGGGCCACTTGACTCTACGGACTCATCCGAAGGCAGAGCTGAGAGCGAGTGGCGAGTAGACAGAGGAGTGGCCTGAGGCGAGGAGTACGTGAAGCCGAAGCGCTGAAGGACCTGCTGCACCATGTGTGACTGAGTCAAGGTAATGGTGCGGCGTGCTCTGTCCCGGGTGATCTGCAAGCCAAGGTAGCTGCGCAATTCACCCAGGTCTGTGCACGTGTGTCTCTTCAGCAGCTCGGACTTCACGTGGGCGAGTCCAGCAATGTCAGCTGTGGCAAAGACCAAGTCGTCGACGTACACGAGGATGTAAAACGGCGGAAGAGAGGTGTCGGTGCGCAGAAACAACGACGGGTCAGTAGTAGAGGGAGCAAACCCAGAGCCGCAAGTGTAGTCCTCAGTGTGTCATGCCACTCGCGCGGTGCCCGGCGGAGACCGTAGACTGGCCGTCGGAGGCTCCACTGGGTGCCAGGAGGGAAAGTCCCAGTGAAGCCAGGTGGACGGCGCAGCCAGATCTCCTCGTGCAGGCTACCCTGCAGGAAAGCAGTGCTGAAGTCAAGGGAGTGAAGCTCGTAGTCGCGCTGAGCGGCTATGTGCAGCAGCACCCGAAGAGTGGTCATCTTCGGGGTGGGAGAGAAGGTCTGAAAGTAGTCAACTCCCTGCCGCTTACTGAAGCCACGAGTGACGTACCGCGCCTTGAAGACAGGTGGAGAGCCCGACGGCCGCTTCACCCTGAAGATCCACATGCCACTGACGATGTTCGCCCCAGGAGGGGGAACCGCGTCAACGTAGGTGCCTGTGGACTTCCAGGAAGCCATCTCTGCATCCATAGCTGCCTGCCACTGAGAGGAGTAGGGACCCTCTACGGCCTCCGCGTAAGAGCGCGGAGTCGGAATGTCTAGTGCATCCGGGTCTCCCTCAGGGGTAAGCAGTACAGACGCGAGATGAGGTGAAGCAGCAGCCAAACACTGGAACTCCTCCTGCCTGTCCTCAAGGACGTGTGTGCCAAGAGCACACTCACCCCCGACGGACGGAGGACAGACAGACGCAGACTCAGCAACAAGACTAGCAGCGTAGTCTAGGAGACAGCGGGCAGCAAAGTCGACGAGCTCAGTAACCAGTGCAGACGCAGCAGTGGACTCAAAAGAGGGGTCAGTGACGACAGTAGCAAGAAGACGCGTGACAGTAGGACTGGCAGCACGAAGAGAGTCCGACTCCGGGTCGGCATGCGCAGGAAGAGAGGACTCAGGAGGAGAAGGCAAAGGGGCACGCAGAGGAGTTGTGGATGGATGCAGCGACATCCGGTGCGTGCCAGGAACAGGAGGAGGACGCTGACGCGAATCGCGACCACTAGCGCGAGCAGCACGAACAGGCGACGCAGGCTCACGAAGCTCAGCAAGACCTCCAGTAGGACCAGTGTAGGGAGAAGGAGCAGGTAGAGGGGAGGCCGGCGGTAACTGTGACAGTGACTGGACAGGCGGTGGACACTCTAAGGGAGGAGGAAGACCAAGAACCTGCTGAAGGAGCGGAACGAAGTACGGCCGAGGCCGCGCGGCGACTCCAGACTCAGCAGGGACAGCACCAACACCCTCAGCGTCAACACCACCGCCACCAGCACCACCAGCTGCAGCACCTCCAAGAGCACCAGCAGTACCCGCAGCAGAACCGCCGGCAGGACCGACAGCAGTAGCCTCAGTGCCAGCACCATCCGCAGGACTAGCACCAGACGTACGCGCAGGTACAGCAGCTCCAGTACCCTCATCAGCCGAAGAAACTCCAGCTCCAGCAGTACGCCTCCAGCGCCGGGCAAACCACTCGCGTAGCTCCTGTGGCGAGAGTGGCTCCCGCCGAGACGAAGCACCCAGAGAACCACCAGGCCCAGCACCGCTAGACGGCACACGAGCAGGTCCAGCGGCCGTGGGCTCCGCACCCCCAGGCTCAACAGCTCCAGACTCAGCACCCCCAAGCTCAGCAGCTCCAGACGCAACACCCCCAGGCGAAGCAGCTCCAGACTCAGCACCTCCAGGCTCACCAGCTTCAGACGCAGGACCCCCAGGCTCAGCAC